AGAACTACATACTATTGGTTTCTCTCATCAATAAACAGAATCCTTTCCAATCAGCCTCCATTTTATTTCCAGTGACTTTCTCCCAGATTGGAACCGGACCGGATTTTTCTTCCAACACTAACAACATCCAGGACAGAGTCAAGATACAAGTTCTCTTATGCTTTTATCATGAAGCTAGCCATTACGAAGCTAAATCAGATAACCACACCAGAAAGGTGTGTTGTTTTAATGTTAGAAAGCATGGGTGTACTCCCTCCTCTCATGCTACTAGCCAGCATCCATTCTAGTTATCATTTTTAAACAACCTAAAGAGATTGTTGAATAAATAGGAATCCCTCAACTTTTCTCCAGTTTCAAAGCTAACAGACTAAATTTGTATGTAAGATACATTTCCTAAATTGATATTTTCCCCTTTTGTCTTCCAAATATTTCTACCATTTACTTTCATAGCTTCAGTCCTGCACTGTATTCATTATCTCAAAATTAGTTGTATTTATAATCTGTATATTTGTTCTTATTATGCAATGGGTTGCCATTGTAATAGGTAAATATGACATTCTCTGGGATTTTGTAAATACCTAGCGACCCCCCTCCAATAAGTACCAAACCTCTTTTGAAGAAATGCACAATGTAAGAGATTAATATTTTATTTGTAAACATGCAGTTGAGAAAAGTTAACCATATTACACTGTGGTTTACTCATTACTCAAGTTAATTATTCAAATGAAATATGTACACATAAAGTTAAATGATACCTGGAATATTCTATGCATAGGAAAGAAATCATCTACATATGAAATTAGAGTATATTAGATTTTTAAAAGTCTCGAGAGAAGAAACTCTGAAAGATTACTTCCTATTAAATACTCAAATTTTCAAAATATATTTTTGAAGAAAAAGAATTCACTTATTTTAAGACTACAATCCTAAATATATTCTCTTAAGGCTCAACTGCAAGCAATTGGAGCTATTACAAAATAAAAATAATTCAGATTTAATTGTAAGTAAATATTTAGAACCTTGTTTGAGGAAACAAGTATGTATTATCAATCATAAGCATGATAGTTAATTTTTGAATGAAAATAGTAGACTTGCATTCATTTTATCTCTCTTTTATGAAATCTAATAGAGCTGGGTATGCTTTGAAAATAACAAAGCAAAGATATTTTGGTAGATAGAGGAGCATAAGCATAGCATTGCTCTAGAACAGCTAAATTATTTTTCAGTCTCCTATAGAAACCTGAAAAACAGTTTGCTGCTTGAAAGAGATGTCACTTGTACCAAGTCATTTTTTAAAAAAATATAAAGATCTAACACATCTTTCTTAAGATCTCATCTTATATTCAATAAACAAACACCTTCTTCTACATCAAATACTACAGATAGAAGATTAGGAAACATATGAAAGCATATTGTAAGAATAGGAGCACAACATGGATTATTATTTTCAGTATCAATGCCAAGTTTCTTAGAACATCATAAAGATGCTCTACTTCTGAAATGATATTCATCACTGCTTTAAGAGTCATGAATTGAGTCAAATGAATTGACTCATTAAAGCAGCTGCATCTTTTTTAGGCTTACCTATAAACTTGAAAAAATGAACAGTGGCATAATTAATAGTAGTGGAAGAGCCTTTTCTGAAATCTAAAATTGGTTTATCATGTACAGGCTATGGCTATGCAAACTTTTCAGAAGGAATGTTCATAGTACCGCTACTATTAATTACTGCCACCATTCCCTTTTTCAAGCTCATAGGTGAGCCTTTAAAAAGATGCAGCTGCTTTAATGAGTCAGCTTACATGACTCTTAAAGCAATGGTGTCTTTTTCAGACTTTCAGAAATCTGAAAGTTTTAAGCTGAAACAGAAAGGAATTGTATTTTTACTCACACAAGTCTGAAGTATTTCTTCCAAGCTGTTCTGGCATGCATGATTAATATCGATACAGAATCTATACCTACATAGAATCTTCACATGTTGTAGGCAGTGCTCTTCAAACATTTAGGACAATAACTCCTATAACTTCTGATTAGTCATGGTAATTGTTGTCCAAAATGTTGGCATTTACTTGGGTAACTCTAACTCTAATGCTGTGGTTAAATGGTTACTTCCAACATAGGAATATATTCTGCCTAAGCATCTGTCAGAGTTCCAAGTAATATGCCCATAGCCAGCACGTTGCTAGCATCCTTTTTAAAAACAAACAATTGAAAAAGAGTTGAATATTTAGATGTGAAGATATACAGTATTCCTATTCAAGCACAAATACTAAAACACTGTAATAAATATCATTTATTCTATATATTTTATTGCAAATAGACAGGAGATAGTTTCGTGTATAGATAACAATTCAGCTAGAATATTTTGCTGCATTAGTATCTTTTAATTTTTTTTAACTTATATTGCAAGAATTAAAACGGCAATACCTAAAAATGGCAAGTACAACCAGCCAATGAAAATCTTGCCCTGTTTTCATATGTGTTGCATGCACTGCACACAGGTAGAAAAGGGCAGGGTTTTGATTGCCTAGTTCAGGGGTGTCAAACTGGTGGCCCTCAGGCCGGATGCATCATGCGCAGGCCACGCCCAGCCCAGCTTGTAAATGGGGGAAACGTTGCAAAATATGATGTGACGGTAATGCGATGCAGTGAGTTTGACACCCTTGGCCTAGTTGTACCTCTTCCCCATTTTCAAGCAGTAGCTGTTACTATGAATGTTCCTGATGCTTGACAGACATTTCATTTCAATAATAGCAGGAATTAAATATTTAAAATCTCAAATTAATTCACATTGTAATAGAACTATGACAAAGACTAGCAACTAGAATTAAATCTGCCCTCTTTGCCTTTTCCCAGTTGTCAAATAATGAGAAATCAGTTGACAGTGGGAGATGCTGCCTGTGACAATTATAGAACTAATTGGTAACTAATTGTTTCTATGGTATTATTTTGCTAATCTGCCATCATTCAGTTTCCCCCCCTGCATGCACAATGAAGCTCTATTGTTGTACAGATCAAATCCTAAGTGTATTTTTTTCTGTTGCATGACTAATAGCAAGGGGACATATTTTACTGTTCTGGATCCATAGGAAATAGAGAAATGTAGTCATAAATACTCTTTTCAGTTTATAACACCTCTGGGATGAAGGATGCTAAACACATAATTGACACAGCATGCTATCATTTATTCCAACATGTTAAAAAAAGAGATATGTAATTATGCAAATTTATTTAATGTCTTTTTTTATTTCATGCACTGAACTGAAATAGTAGAACGATGGCTTATTATCAAAATAATCTGATGCCCTATACAATTAAAAAGTATTTGTGCAGTACAGAGTTCAAAGAATTATAATCTAAAAGTATTTTGGTTCTCAGGGTTGTGAAGAGCAGTTAGAAAACGGGATGATGAAATATGAGCAATGAGCTAGTAAATTTAAATAGTAATTTTGTGGGAACATTTTCAAGCAGCCAAAAGCATAGTCGTCATTCTCTGCTCTAGCGGGAGAGTTCTCTTCCTGCCCAAAATGAATGCCAAATTTCTTGCTTTGTGGTTAATACTATCTGCAGCTGCTCTGGAATCTGCTAATGCAACTAATTATAAACTTTAAAAATTGTTTTACAATATATGATCAGTTATTCAGATTGACTACATCTCTGGCCCTTGTTTTAATAAATGAATTAACTTATCTGCTCTTGCTATCAATTTTAAAATACTGTACTTCAGGGATGTCAAACTAGCGGCCTGTGGGTTGGATGCTTTACATGCTGGCCACACCTACCCTTGGCTTAGCGAAGGGGGGAAGTTGCGATACACGTGACAATGCTATGTTGTCATGAGTTTGACATTCCTGCTGTACTTTGTGGCCATCTGCTAACAGTTCAACCAATCTTGCTGCAATAGAATTTCCCTTTCTCCTATTCAAGGACAGGAGTCAGAAAAAAATCATTCTAGTCAGGGAAACAAAAGGTAGCCTTAGACCTTAGAATTCTCCTTTTCAAGTTGAGAGTCAGAAGAGTGGAGTTATAAATGTCCTGTCCTACTCTGGAAGAGTCACTGAATATCTGAAGCCCTCTTCTTTGTAGAGATAAAAGAGAAAATAGGCAGGCATTATTCAACTGCACTGCACATGAACAAATACAGACATTCTGGTTTCCAGTCTTCTAACCAAATTAGTTCAAGGGCTTTGGACTGATCCAGTGGCCTTCTACTACTTCTTGTCTCCTTAATTAGCACATTCAGAATAAATGGTGTCAAATAAATAACAGAGAAATTATTTGTCTTACATTTGCAGAACACGTGCAGGAATAGAATTCAATATTAGGAAAATGGACTGCCACGATACTGAGCTCTGGATTATTAATAAATGGCTGGCTTGCTTCTGTTTCATTTTTGTGTGTGGCACAAGTTACAGTAAAAATTTGTCATTCCCTTTGAAAAAAGCAGGTATAAAGTGCTCCACAGAAGGTATAGAAAAATAGAATAGAAAAAGCTGTGACTGTTTTCTGGTATGATTTGATTGCTTATTGTATTGTACCCTTATGACTATTACTGTATTAAGTGTTGTACCTTATGATTCTTGACGAATGTATCTTTTCTTTTATGTACACTGAGAACATTTGTACCAAGACAAATTCCTTGTGTATCCAATCACACTTGGCCAATAAAGAATTCTATTCTATTCTATTCTATTCTATTCTATTCTATTCTATTCTATTCTATTCTATTCT